TTCTCTCCTTGGTCATGACCCAGCGACGTTTAGCATTAAGCATACTAAAGCCGCGCAACGGTGTGTAAGTCCCAGTCTCTACATTTGCAACTTTCCCGAAGGCCGGAATTACTCACCCGAGTAAATCACCGCCGTCGTGCAGCGGCGACATCGCGCGAACGAGCCGGCGAGAAAGGCCTCCCTCGATCGCGATCACGTTTTCGGATACATACGCGAAATCGCCGCCGAATCCGCGATTGTGCCGATATCCTCGCGATATCCGAGGCGCTGTCTGTCGTCGTCGATTATTCGACGTTAGTAGTCACCGTTCATCTCGCGTGCTCGCGACGCCGACGTCGCGACGGCCGCTACCTGCGGCCTATCGCATACTTTTACGGCACGCGCTGTATACCTGCCCCGAGATCGATGTTGGCTAAAATATCTAGAACACGCCAGGTATTGCGTACTAACGTCGGCGTTTTAAGCGCGCCGACTGAATTTACCACATTCGTACTATAGCCAAGATGATCATCTAAAAGCGAGCGGAGGAGGGGGAGGGTTAATTAAAATTAATCGATCCTCTCGCCGGACGACGGGGATTCACCGTTCGACGGCCGTGAGATGTAATTATTTAATTTAACAATTATCTCTCGACTAAGGTCTGTGAGAATTCATTAATCGTCGGACTGCACTCCATTTGTGGTTCAATCGATAAATTTCACTTTCTTATTCGACTTTTCTCGATTATTCAATTTATAATGCGGGAAGAGATATCGTGAATAATAGTAATAAAAGTAAGTGAAATAAAAAAGAAATAAAATAACACCGGACGAGAGATGAGGAAGATGCTCACGACGTGAAAGCTTCTTAATTAGCGCTTTAATTAACATCAAGTTGAAAAACGATCCAACAACACGGACGGACGTGAAGAGATTACGTTTGGATGGCAGATTCGCGATGGAAGAAGATCAATTACGAGATTACTCTTCTCTGCCCCTCTCTCTTTCTCGCTCGCAATCTAACTTAATATATATTCTTTTTTGAAGACTCGCAAAAAAGAGATTTCGCCCGGAAGGAGTCCTGAGCGAGGCTGTCGTCGTCGTCGCCGTCGTCGCGACTATCGGTTTTGCGCGCGAGAAGTTCGCGCTCGCGGAATTGTCTTTTCGTCTTCTCAAGAAATTCAGTCCGTTAATTCGCGCTATTTTATGATAATCCGACTTCGCCGAGAGAGAGAAGTCGGTAAGCATCCCTCTCGGAAATTCTCTTTTCACCATTAAACGCGCGAGAAATCACCTCCTCGCGTGTGTCCGCAGACCGCGAACCGTGCATTCTCGGTAGAACCGGTCGGTCCTCAGCTTCTTTCCGAAATACCCGCGCGAAACCGCAACGATACCGCGATAGACAGACAGACAAACAGAAGTTCTCATCTTACTTTTATACAGCCGTGTTCTTCCCTCTCTCGGTAGCGGTGCGTTATCGGAGGCGCTTCCCTTCGCTGCACGCACGGGGTTTCACCGAACGTACGAGACCGGCGGTCTTCCGGCGGCCGCCGAACGGAACGAAGCTCTGGAAATTCCGGAAAAAACCATCGTGCTGAACTTCCCGACGACGACGAGGCCGACGAGCCCGGCGGAAAGCCGACATCGAGCGTGCTGCATGATTGCGCGCGTATCGACTAAAGGACGCGTCGAAAGCACGTGACATAAGTGTACGCCGTGTGTGCGGCCTATACCGTGGCCCCTCTCGTATGTGACGTGGGTGCCTTCTTCGCCGAGTGTGGGTGGGTCGGTGCCAAGGCTCGTCGAAGCCACGAGCGAAAGCACGTCGCGTTTTTTCCATTTCGTATCGAACGCGCCGCGCCTCGCCTTGCTACGCCTGGTCGCTCGCTCGCTCGCTCGCGATTCACCCGGTCGATCGGCTCGACCGAAGCCGATCATCGCGAGATAACGCCACTCGGGGAAAACTCTCCTCGCAAAGCTGCGATAAACGTTGAGGCAGCTCAACACACGGTGTCGTCTCGGCCGTAACCATGGCGAATACGATCGAGGGTTGGAGATAAGAGTCGAAGGTCGTCCCCGGATAATGAAAGGAGAAAGAATGAAGCCGATCGGCAGAGCGTTCGAAAGAGACCGCGATATTGGGTAATGATTGTCAGTGAGACTCGAGTCTCCTCTAAGTTTGCACCGAACTTTGATCAAACCAAGCGACGATCAACTCTAACAGGGTCTGCAAACTGAAATTTCAGTTGCAGAAGAAATTGAGAAAGAGAAGTTCGGAATTTCTCTCGTAACCCTGTAAGTTCATCGTCGCTTAACTTATGCCCGTTTCCTCCCCATACAGAGAAAACAGATTTTGCCAGAAGAGCAAATGTTTGTCGATATGGTGACAGCAAAAGAAAAAATTCGTTTAGTGAGTGAAAAATTTGTTTGGACAGCAGGAAGATTCGTTAAGAGTATTAATTGTCGGTATATCCAGTAAATCGCAATTAATATTCTTAACAAATCTTTCTGTTGTCCAAACAAATGCTGACACTATATTGACAAACATTTGCTGTTCTAGCAAAATTTGTCTTCTCCGTGCATCATAATTTAAATCTAATCGACGATTAATACAATGGAGAATTGATCGCATTGATAGGTTCAGCTCTAATTGGCCAATGCGATTGGTCAATTCCGTTGAGTCAATTGGATTTAATTGGGAATACCACGATGGTAAGAAAACGGGCATTAATTGGAGTCGGTGTGATCGGGCCTTAACGCGTTTTCCCCCGGCGGAATTAATGGGCAGAATTCGGTTATCGCGGCTGTGAACAAGTGCGAGAGCCGAAAATATCGCGCCTTCTCCTCGAGGCGACTTATTATTATTGAGCCTATCGCTGACACGAGTTCCTCATTAAACTAATGAAGGTAGCTGCTTAATTGGTTCCGTAATGAAACGCCATTGGCACATTGCTCGTATGCGCACGTATCGTATTTCACTTTTTATTCATCCGGTAGAAAGCTACGCTAATAGTACTTCGATCTTTTATTTCATCCTGTGATGTTCATCGGCGATATTCATCAGTATCTTGCAATTATCAAAGAGAGAGAGAGAGAGAGAGTAGATCGGTTAACACGTTCACTACCGGACTGATTTTGTTTGACGATTTTCTGTTCACGCCGTGTAGCTCACATGCGCCCCACGTTATCAAGACTAAGTTTTACTTATAATCCAGGTTAGGCAATAACTAATTGCTCAGTTTCAAAGCTAAACTAAATAGTTAATAACTTTTAATTTAACTTAATTCATTTCAGATGAGTTAACTTTTAAATCTTAAACTAATTAATTTATAAATATATTATAATTTATATATATATTATACGTTAAGTTTAATTTATTAATTTTTTTTATGTAAGTTAAGTGCTTGAGAAAGTTAGCAATTCTCCGCATCAGCTAGCGGTAGCGACGTTTTCATCGCGGATACAGTCCCTGTCGACCTGTCGTCAGTCCGTCGTTTTTTTTTTTCATATACTCGCTGTCGTCGCGACGTGCCACTTGATTATTATCGAGAAAGTCGCTCTCGCGATAACGACGGCGAAACAATGCGACACACCGTGTCTTACGTGATTAGCCAAAATATGCTAATTGAGCCGTGACTTGTCGCCTCCGCCGTCCGTTAACGATGTTTTTTCGGAGCTATCAACAGGTGTTAGTCCAGAAGTCGCGCCTTTTGTGGGCGCGACATCGAGCCGAACAAAGCGCGGACGTGAAGCTGTGTCAAAATAGAGATGTTGAAAATTTGTTCTCCGTCTCCAGCTGTCAGTTTGATTTAACGAATGCATTAAACAGAATCGCTTCGTTTTCACAATCCTCTTTCGAAATCTATGTTTAAAGTGACCGCGATATCGAGCAATCGTGGATTCTCATCGACATTTTTGTTTAAATTCCGACCGATGGTTCATGTTGTCTTTCTTTCATCTGAGATTCTCGTTATTCAACGTTTGACACAACTCGGAAGTTTGATAATAGATAATTCGTTCATTACATTAATTTACAAGGTTTCTATTTCTCAACACCTGAATGGTGGTTCTTATATATTTTTGCTAAACGCGTTCTGTTGTTCAAATTTAACTATCACGTCACAATTTGTAAAAAATGGCAAGTCAAAGTCGCCGAAAAACAACGATTTCGAGGGTATTCATGATGTTGTGGCATCGGCAGCATATTTTTTTCTCAAATTTTGTTAATGCCACATAAAAGAGAAAGTATCAACTTTTAGCTTTAAAGTGTATTTTGCTTTATTTCGGTGTGATTTGTTTCCGAGATATAGCAATTTGAAAAAAGCTCTTTTTCTATGTAATGCAAAAAGCATGATGTGATAGCCAAATTCGAACAACTTTGAATTCGTGTTTAAGCAAAAATACATTGTAAATGACTGTTCGCACTTCAGGAAACAGTAGAAGATCAAATTTTGTCGGACGGTGTTATCGTGCAGCGTGCTTATCGGTATCTGCGAAACGAGTACGAATTATCGATGAGAACTAATTTTATGACAGATGTATAGATTTTCCCGAGTGTAGATATCGTGAACATTGTAGTCTCGCTTCTCCTTGTCACGCGAGTTGTTTTCCTAAACCAATTTCTCGATTCGGAATTCCATTCGACATCGTGTGGTAGTCGGAGGGCGTGATCGATTTTTTCAGGTCGTGCGCGCTGTGCTATTTCGCTCAGTTTGCCGTCGCGGTTTGCTTCGTGCACGGGTGTCATTAGAACCTGCCTAAATGTAAAACACGTCGTGTATGCACGCAGAGAGATGAAGAATAGCGGCGCACGAAAACGCCGCCGGCCAACGATGCCCCGTTTTTCTTGCAGCCGACCACCAACGTCACTCTCTCTCTCTCTCTCTCTCTCGCGCGCGTGATTACCCTGGAATAAATTAGCATGCGGGATGAATATGTGTGTATGTGTGTGATTTTCGGATCGGGCCACAGAATCGAGACCCAATGCGCCTATTCCCGGAGCCGAGACGACTCGAGAGGTGCCAAATGCCAAATACTGTCTCGGCGGTCCTCAGCGCGGCAATCAGAACGTGAATGCCGCGTCTAGAAGAGCGCTTTGGAATTCGCGTTGCACCTGCGAAACGATATCCGGACTTGCCGGGTCGTCCTCGCCCCCTAAGCGCGTGAATTCACGCGTGGAAGGCATCGAGAAATCGCTGGACCCGGGAACAGAGCGGTAGGTTTGTGAAGTTAACACTCCAAAATACGGATTTTTATAAAAATTTTTATATAAATGCAAATTTATTTTATAATTATTTTTGTACAAATTTTGATGAAAATGCGAATTTTTATCTTAATTGTTATTGAAGTTTATCTTAATTATAAAAATTCGCACTTTGGAGCGCTGATTTCACAGACCTCAGAACGGTGTTTACATTGAGAAAAAGATTTCAAATTCAATAAATTTGATTGCATCCAAACACAAATTTCATCATTGGCATGCTCCAAAAAAACTAATGTTTCGATTGTTAGACTTTTCAACTAATATGTATCTTTATCTTAAACAAAAAATTTATTTAAAACGAAAGACAATTTTCTTATAAAAAAATCATTAGTTTCATTTCACATATTTATTGTGACCAAATAATATTTTATTTGATTAAAAGATATTATTACAAATAATAGCATTCTTCCTGTTAAATAATAGTTTTCTTGAATAAGACAATAAAATTTTTACTTGAACAAATACTTCATATTAGTATATGTCGTTTCTATGAAACGAAAATTTTAGTCAAATAGAAATATTAAACCTAAAGAAACTTTTTCCTCTATGCGGAATCGGTCGGCCCTTCGAAACGATTTTCGAGCGTCGTGCCTACCGTTTTCTCCTCCTCGTCGTTCAATATTATATTCATTTATTTCTCATTAGTTTTATATTTTTCACAAGACACGTGAGCAATACTGAAAAAAACGAGTAATTCGAGTTTCGTGCTGGTGACGAAAATGTTCGAGAAAGCGTGAATTACGAGATATTACTCAACGCCGGTATCTCGGCGACGCTTGAGTACGCGGATCCACGCGTAGGAGAGATTCACCGCGAGCGCGTCGAGCGAGCGCGGCTCTCCCGTGGCCGTCGCCGTAGTAAATAGGTGACAAGGCAAGCGGAAGGGAGGACGATGGTCGCGCGACGTTCAAGAGCCGTCTCGGGCGAGTGCAACTAATTCCGGCCACCGCAGTCTAGACTGCGGAACATTTCGAGAGCCGAACGGGCTAAGCTTAGATCCTCTCTCGCCTAGGCATCCGACGTTTATTTCCGTCTATAATCCGACAGGTGGTCCTTAGACACCTCTATATATATATATATACATACATACATACATACATATATATTCCTCTCTCTGTCTCATCTCACGTTACCCCACCGCGATAAATATCAAACCACATCCGCTACCACGCTCTTCCTCTCTGTCCCTCTCTTCCCCGTCATCCCCCGCCGTCCCAGCCGCTGATTTTACTCGCGAAATAGGCGAGGCGGAAACGATAAAGAAAAAGAGAGAAAATATGAAAACTGGTATATTCAATGCGTGAAATATCTCTCCTTATCGTCGCTAGGCGGAAACAACGCATTCGCGTGCCGCGATGAATCTCGGCGTTCCACCGATATTTCCGCGATCCCCCCCCCCCTCCTGCGTGTGTATTAACGATTCTTTCACTCGTTTGTTCGCAGACTCGCCAGGATGATGGGTAGCATGCCGAGCGGGCGGATGAGGAGGATCCTCCTCTTCCTCGTCCTGATGACCGGGGTCCTGCTAATCGCCATGTACGCGCACGCTCCTCCGCTCGCATCGCTCCAGCCGATCGCCTCACGTCGGTAAATATCTGATGCTCTCCACGCAAAATATGCTTGCTCTTTTATAGCAGTAGCGCTGTCATTCAAGTCGTTCAAGTCACTTGTCACTTTTTCATGACAAGTCATTGAAAAATTCACTGTCGCCCAAAATGGATCACTTTAATCAATTTTTTCCTGAGCTGCCGTTACATTTGTAAAACATAAGCGTCCTATATATGTTTTTGACGATCTTTCTTAATAAAACTTTCCCAAAAACGTACCTCTGTCGTATATTTTCTTGTTATGAATCTTCAAATCGTAACCGTATGATTAAAATAAATCGTATATGTTAAGTTATCCAAAGATAAACCTGGAGATAAGAATGAGTATTATATTTTTTTTCTTAAGCGGCCTTTGTTACTCTCAGAATCTGACAAAAATCTGAATGGTCACTTTTTGTCACCTTTCCTGTCAAGAAACAGTTGCTATTTTACTTTTTCTCATTCCGGTGACTAAATTTGTTGTAAAATTGCATTGTTTATCTGCATATTCTGCAGATTGATTAGAGTCGATAATCTCGGTGTGGTCAGTCACGAAAAGGTGGTAACACATTTTTTTCCTTATAAGTTTCGAAACACATCCCGTATCCAATAGGAGAATTAATTTTCCAGCAATTTTCAGGAGACATATTTTCTTATGGAAAATATTTTGGATATACAAGATGCATCGCGAGATGAATCATCGAAAAAATAATGTTGCAATAACCTTCGAGTTACGAGCGATTCAAGTTACCGATAACATTCGCGTGAATTTCGCTTAACGCAGATATACAAGCCGTGTATCGTTTTATGCGCGAATTCTTATCCAATCATACCTGATTATCTTATCATATTGTTCCCGAATTGTAGGACATTCCAAAGTCCGTGGTCCTGGGCGTGCGTGGCGAATCGATGTGAGAAGCGAGCAGTGAGGTCCTCGAGAACGTCTTTGGCCACCTGCACTGCGCATTGCGGGGGAAACACTCGTCTGCTGTGGCCGAGACCGACCAAAAACGTCGTCTTGGGCGACGAAAGTGTCATTCTGCATCTTCAACAGATCGAGTTCGTCTACGATATGAGCGACCAGGAGACGAAAGATCTGCTGGAGCACGCGCAGGATGTCTTCATCGGTGAGTGATTGAAAACAAGCGGAATGGAAATCCCATGTAATTTACTTGTTATACGTTACAATCGCGTTTGAGACACTTCACAAGCTGGCTTTTAATTGAAGAGCTTTTTACTGAAAAGGGATAACAATAGAAAAGATGGGCATAAAGATTCTTTTATGCCCGTCTGGTTAGCCCTCAATTCAATCAATGCCAAATGAATTCTAAAGATATATCATTATGCGCTCTTTGAAAATGAAGCACAGAAATTTCTCGCTCTATTCATTACGGCAGGGGGCAGAATTTTTAGTGGGGGACTGGGTGGCCATTCGTTAAGATTTCTTCAAAATGAAAGAGATCGTTAAGTCAATTATATATGATAAATTAAAGATTTATGGGCTCTTTAAAAATGAAACGCATAAATTTTTCACTTTATTCATTGCGGCAATAAAGACAAAAGGGACGGATAAATTTACGATTTGTGCGTTCTTACATCCAGGTAATTTCGATTTTTCGCTATAACTCTTAAGAGACTTCTCTCTTGGCGCAAAAGTCATAATCACCATAAAATTTTTAGTTGCAGAAAGAAACGGGCAGATGTTAAAATGTTGTTTAAATGAAAGAGTTCGTTGAATCAACTATGTACGGTAAATTTACGATTTATGCGCTCTTCGAAAATGAAACGCAAACATTGTCCGCTTTATTCACTACGGCAGGAAATAGAATCCCCAGTAAACAAGAAATCATTAACGCAACGTTATTACAATGATATTTTATAATACGTGACATTTCCAAACATGTAGTTCTTAATGTTATATACAACATCATTATTGACAATATTTGTCCCAAACATTAAAGATAATATATCTCCACATTATGATTTTTAATATTCGGGAATATTATATTATCAAGTAACAGTTTAAAAACATTTATAAAATACCGTGTCAACATGTTTATAAAATCCACGTAAAATCAATGTTTCAAAAGATTGATTTAATGTTTTTTTTTTGCTTACTGGATTTTTAGTGGCTGAGCGGACGTACGTTAAAATTTCTTTAAAATGAAAGAGTTCGTTGAATCAATCATGTACGATAAATCTCCGATTAATACGCCCAACGAAAATGAAACATAAAACTTTTTTACTTTATTCTTTACGGCAGGAAACAGAATTCCTAATGAGGGGATTAGGCGGACAGACGTGAAAATGTTTTTGTCAAACGAGAGAGATCGTTAAAACAATTATGTACAGTAAATCTACGATTTATACGCTCTTATGTCCGAGTAATTTCAATTTTTCCGCTGCATCCCTTTAAAAGAAAAGGCTTCTCTCTGTCTCGTCACAGGCAACATCAGGAGTTTGGTGAAGGTGCTGAACGCTAAAAGTCGGTCCGGTATCGACTCCTTCGTCATATACCTGAGCGCCGAGAACGCTCGAGGCACCACCTTGACTTTGGACACCGATGAGTCCTACAAACTGGAGCTGATGCCGAAGGGGAAGAACCTGATGGCCAAGATCTGGGGCAAGAATTACTTTGGTTTACGCCACGGCCTTGAGACTCTCAGCCAGTTGATCTGGTGGGACGAGGCCGCCGCCAAGCAAGGCGCTCTTCGTATTCTCACGCGTGCCTCCATCGAGGACAAGCCCGCGTTCCCTTATCGTGGCCTCCTCATCGACACCGGCAGACAGTTCTTCCCGGTCGAGGAGTTGAAGAGGGTGATCGACGGCATGGCTGCCACGAAGCTCAACACCTTACACTGGCACCTCACCGACTCGCAGAGCTTTCCGTTCGACTCGGCGCAATACCCCGAAATGGCGAGATGGGGCGCCTACAGCGACGACAGAATTTACACGCCCGACGACGTGAAGGACCTCGCGGACTACTCGAGGATACGCGGCGTACGGATCGTCGTCGAGATTGATTCCCCGGCTCACGCCGGCGCCGGCTGGCAGTGGGGTAAGTGGGGACCGGAGACACTTTGGCATTTTGACATTTTCATTGGAATACAATGTATCGTTTTTCTTTTTAACAAATGCGTTTTTGAGCCAAAAAACCCTTGACGAGTGGGATTTAAAAAACTCGAGTTAATATACTCATCACACGATGCGAAACTTCAGGTGTGGAGCACGGTTTCGGCGAGCTGGCGTTATGCGTGGACCAGCAGCCGTGGGCGTCGTACTGCGGCGAGCCGAACTGTGGCCAGCTGAATCCCATAAACGAGCACTCATATCGAATACTCGAAGGCCTCTATCGGGAACTTCTGGACTTGACCGAAGTGCGCGACGTGGTGCATCTCGGTGGCGACGAAGTGAATCTCGATTGTTGGGCGCAATATGGCAACATCACCCTGGCTATGCAGGCGCAGAACATGACAGACTATCACGAACTCTGGGCCGAGTTCGAGAAGAAGATGTTGCAACGCGTCATTAAGGCGAACCACGACCGAATGCCGAAGGCGGTGATTCTGTGGAGCTCGCCGTTGACGAAGCGGCCGTACATTACCACGTACTTCGACCCGAAGATCCACATCATCCAGTCGTGGGGCGCCAGCAATTGGCCCGAAACGTCGGACCTCCTGGAGGACGGCTTCCGCGTGATACTGTCGCACGTGGACGCCTGGTATCTGGACTGCGGCTTCGGCAGGTGGCGGGAAAGCGGCGAGGCCGCCTGCGGCGAGTATCGCACCTGGCAGACTGTTTATAATCACCGTCCGTGGAGGGACTATCCCCAGGAACAAGTGCCCTTGGTTCTCGGTGGCGAAGCGGCTATCTGGAGCGAGCAAACCGGACAGTCATCTTTGGGACCTCGACTATGGCCTAGAGCGTCAGCGCTCGCCGAACGATTGTGGTACAGTATATAATAAATGATGCAATTGCAAGTGAAATATAAAAAGTGATGTAAAAAAGTAAATAATCTGATTAAAATGTAATAAGAATTAACACATATAGGATGCGGTATTTAAATTGAGATACCTAAATATATAAAAATAAAGCAAAATAGAAATGTTCCAGACATAAGTTGCAAGATTTGAAGGAGGACGTACTTTGGTCACCTCAACTTTAATTTGTGTTGAAAGGCTGTATGACTCCGTTAAAAAGAAATGAAGTTGACCTTGAAATGACCCTGAATTATTGGCTATATAACGAGGTTAAAGTCATCCAAACACGTCCTCCTCCAAACCCTACAACTTTTGTCTGGAATGTTTATTTCTATTTTGCTTTATTTTTTTATATACCTTTTTTATACACTACAGGCGTCTCGATTTAAATACACACACATATTTAAAAATAACTGAAAGAAAATGTTTCTCTCAGCGAAAATGCCGATGAAAATATGTAATTTATTAATTCACAATTTTCTCTCGAGATAAAAAGCTCGATTAAAATTAAGAAAGTAAAGCTCGGCTCGTGAAATTAACCAGCGAATATAATCTCGCTGAAAATATGAGCTCAGCTCATCAGAAGCTCGCCTTATTTTCGTTGGGGGAAAAATCTCTCTCTCTCTCTCTAAAAAAAATTAACTAAAGCACGTATAATGGATACAATTACGTATAGTCAAGTATAATTAGGTAACGTAGCGAGATACAGCGAAGTAATTTCTCAAGATCCGCATCCTCCCCGTTTCCCAGGAGCGACCTGCCAATGATGAGTTACTCCACGGACGAGAACGTTTACACCAGACTGGCCGCGCACATCGAAGTTCTCGCCAGCAGAGGCGTCAAGACGGAATCGATGTGGCCGCACTGGTGCTCCCAGAACCCCGGGAAATGTCTCTGACCTATCGTCAGAAACGCGCGCGAACCGTCTCGACCAACTGTTCTACGAGTATTGTACTTGTACTTATACATTGTAATGTACAGCGCCGATAATCATGTAAGGACCGGACCAGTACTGTCGATGTGAGACCGCCGGGTAATTTCCAGGCCCGGAACCAACGAGAAATCGCGAGAGTAACCAACGCCCGCGGATCCGCAATCCGCTGTTGATTTTCCCCGTAGCAACCGTTCTCGCGATCTCAGCTAACTCTGTCCTTCGTTCCTTCTGACGCACTCGCGATATCACGGTGCGTCGAGTACGAATACGGGGAGGGGAGACACTCGAAAAAAGACTCAGGTAGCCAGGTAATACTCGGACACCGACAGCACTGGACTGGACGAGGAGCTTCGCGGAGTTCGTCGCGAGCCTCGCTCCTCGCTTTCGGTTTATTATTATTAACACACTGCGATCCGCGGTCCGTACTAAGTCATCACGTACGATTTATACGAGGCGCGTTTATGATCGTACTGAGCTCTCTCTCTCTCTCTCTCTCTCTTTCTCTCGACGCTTTCTCAAGTGCCGATGAGAAGATAATTGTTAAAATTAAATTTGCATTTGGGGGGGGGAGGGTTACGTGTATAATATTATAATGTTGCGAATATATATATATGATATTATAATATCACGAGAGTATATGTCTCTCTCGGTAACAGTTACAGTCATGCGAGTATCTGTAATGTCAACAAAGTTATCGTTGCGATGTCGACCGTAACAATGGTTCAGTTACGTCGTCGTGCCATTGATAAACCGTATCGTGTATCGTGTTGATAAACTGAGGTGGCCGAGTGCCGTCGGCGGATCGCAATGTGTCGATGTCTTGTGACAGAGACATTTAAGTCGTAGATATTTATACAGCTTATCATAGGTATATTAAATATTAGGGGAAACGACTGGGTGATATATTGTTCAACGATACACATCCGGGCGCACATCGACGATCAACGTTATACGTTCTCGCTGTATCACCTTTTTTACATTGCGCTTCGGTGTCTCTGCTATAGGAATATCGATGATTTTAATTTTAAGCTCTGTACTGTTAAGATACACAACACGTGTTTTCCGGCGAGCGGCTTCGGTTTTGCGCGTCTGCGGGTAGATCGGTGTAGATCAGTATAGGTAGATACTGTCCAATTATTGTGAATGATTACTCTCTCGGGCACTCGCATTACCGTGATTAATTGTACATAGCACTTCGGGGAAACGAAAGGCGAGAGAGACCGACCGGCCGGTGCGAGATCGGACCGTTGTGGAAATCAGTGACGGACGACGATGCACGGTTGTTCACCCGGGTTTATTATTATCCGCAATTTTTTATTCCGGACGCGTCCGGCTGCCCGAGTGTCCGCAGACACGCGAGGCAATCAGCTCCGGCGACAGTCGTGGCGGTCCTATTGGACTATCAGTGTGAATACCGGGAAATTGATCTAATATTTAAAGAAGAGGAATATCGGAGAAGATAAGAGATACAAAAGTAATATATTGAATGACATCGTAAGATAAATTAAAAAATTGGAAAAATTGTAGGATATGCGATGAGAAATGTATGTGTACATAAGACGCGCGATTGTCGGCGATCGCAAAAGCCGAGCCGATCGCAGCGAGATACGTGTTACGACGTGTCTCTGTTATGAAGTGCTGCTACACACGGATTTAACATAAAATGAATGTTGAATACATGACATTGTTCGCTTCACTCCTCCCACTAAGACCGTCGTCCCGTTTCCTCATTCATTCAAGCGGAACGAATTTTGAAAAAGTGTGTACGAATGAAAACGTGCGAGTCGAAAACTTTGCTCTTGAAAAATCCGATTCTCTCGTACTCTACTCGCTGTCTAATGACAGATTTGGACGAATTCTCTTGCCAATTCGTGGAAAAGCATTATTGCCATCAACGAGATTCGACTATGGCACCGACGACGCGTTATTCGTGAAGAAGTAGTTGTCATAGCCTCACAAAAGAAAATGTCAAGGAGATTAACGACAAGATACAGATTGCTTACGTTCAATAGAGAAGAAAATAGCTCAGCTAGCACATTTTATTATGATTTCTATTATATTTTTATTATATGATTATTTCTTCTATATTGGCACATTCTCCTAGACTTATCGAAGATCTAAAAAAAGCGTAAACAATAATTGCCAAGCATTCACTGAACTGCTGATGCAGGCATTATTTCTGATAGCTCTGCTGCCTGGCGAACAACAGGTGGTGCTAGAACGTCGTTCGTCATCCAAGAGCAGACCAATCCTAACGTCGGATCGGATGATGTTACAGGTAACAACGCACTATATTTGTACCGAATTTTTTGCCACAACAAAAGCACAGGATTACTAATTACGCGGGAAAATTAATTGTATATCTAAGTTCTGTGAAGAAAAACCATGTATTTCCAAGAAAACATACGAGAGTTTAATATTCATAACTTTCTTTTGCCATACTTCAGCTTGTTCTTAAATTTCTTGGCGTTTATGCCGTATGATTTTAGTCGTTCCGCGTTCAAGGACATCATTAGGTCGGTGCTGTCGCTGTTTAATCTGCACTTGCCGCTTTTTACTTTGTTAAATTGAAGTTTCCTCTTGTTCGATCTGTCCCTCTTCTTCCGAGCGAGCGCGGTTTTGTCCACAGATGCCGTTTCCACGTTGCCCTTTTCTATCTTATTATCCATTTGTACCCACGAGCTTCCTTTCTTTATATTATCCACCTTTACCTTCTTTGGCCTGGGGCTATCGCTGTCGACATTTAATTTTTCTTTTCGTTTCCACTTGTTACTCTTATTCGCTACATTCTTCTCCCGCGTATTCTCATCTTGGTCTGCGTCATTCTTGATATTACGAGCATTGTTTTGCGTATTATCTTCAGAAGCTTTTGCGGCGCCTTCTTCAGCGGTGTTAGCGTTAGTGGAGTCAGCGTTAAAATTGCTGTTTTTAGTTTTCTTCCTTCTGCGCTTTTTACTGTCGATATTGTCGCCAGTTGTCGTTTGCTCATCCGCATTTGCGTTTCCATCTTCTTGCTTTTCTGATTCACTACGAATAAAAATATTATTAATATATATTAATAAGTGGATCATCCAATAGCTTAAGATATTATAGGTATATATTTTGTATGGTAAAAAAGAGAAAGAAATAGAACGATCATAAAATAGTTCGAATAGTTAAAACAATGTAGCTTCAAAGAATAAATATTATATATAAATATTATAATAATCTTTGCGAAACATTTACGTATATAAGCTCTTGAGAATTTTCCGTTTTAGCATCTCATTCGACGATTTTTGTTTGTACACTCGAACTTCTTGCATCTCTGCATGCTCAGATTTATGTTGAAGGGCTCGTTTTAAAGAAGACCACTTATTTAATTCCTTGTCATCGGCCATTAATATCTTCAAATGTAAACGTATTCATTTAAATTGTAAAAATTACTTTTGATTTCCTTGGATTTGCGATAATAACGATAGAATGTTGTAACTTGAATTCCTACATAATTTCCTCTAACTAACTGAACCTTAATGAATGTAATGCTTACCTCTTCAACACTTAACCCGTAGTCGTTCGGCATTACCTTTCTGTATTTAAATCTACAAGGCAAATCTCCGATCATATCCTCATAGTTCAATGAATAATATTGATCGAAATATTCTTCATACGAAGGAAACTGTTTCGGATCGAATTTTGGTTTCTCTGTCGCTATAAGCGTAGCGAACTTTGAGCGCCTCTTTCTCTTACTCTTTCTGGTACTCTCTACAAGTTCCGAATGTAAATTTTGGTTCCCATCGTAATCAGCATCCATCTGTAATTAGGGCGAGGGGGGGGGGGGAAGTTACACTAGTTTTATCACGAAATTTATCAAGATTATTAAATTGAATTCGTCCGGAAAAATAAACTGCTCCGTATTAACAAAATAATTAGCCCTTGAGAAAATAACGCGGTAGAAACGGAAAGTGAAATATAATAACGAGATAAAGATGTGCCTATATATAATATAATGTACATTAAATTCAGGATCTTCACAATGAGGTTCTCCGTGCGACGCATCATCGATGTCTATTTCATTTGCTTTCGGGTCATAGTCATCCCATGTGCTCTCAATACCCAACTCTTCATCAATATCTGGAAATTCCGGCTTCACATCGTCCTCGACACCAGCATAATATTCCTCGTCAAAAAGTTCCTTCATCTTTCTGTCGTGTTCATTTGGGTCGAAATCGGCGTCGAAATCGACGTTGTCGAAATGCATATCATTATTACCTACAATTGGTACGAAATAAGGTTAGACAAATAAACTGTGGTACAGTATGATGTGAATTCTGCAGGTGTTCGAAAGCCGAGGAGCCTTTTACCTGTAATCTCCTTCAACTTGTCTATTTTCTCTTCTATCTCTTTTCTCTTCAGTGCCTTCAGTTGCTTCAATTCTTCCTTTTTCTGCTGTTTTTCTTGCTCTTTTCTTTGCCTGACTTCCGCCCTCTTTTGCGATCTACGTGTGTCTTTTCTCCGCATTGAGTTCTCCATAGTACGAGGATATCTTAATATAACATAAATATAAGTACATAATATAAATATACATGAATAGGCTTGATAAATTAAGAGGAGTTGTAACATATATGTTCAACGGTTAATTATCGAACAATTTGTACCTCTTGATAAATTCCTGATCGGGCTCTTCAAATCTAAAATTGTACTTGTGTTCAAATTCTTCTTGCTTCTCGATATTCTTCTCATCTTCTGATAAATTCTGATCGCTGTCGTGCGCAATTTGATCATAATCCAGCTCCACATCAGAAGATTCCTTATCTATATACTTGTTGTTGAGAATATAATCTCTCAAAAATTTCTCATTTTCATCTAAATTAGGATTTGTCCAAAAGTCACGTAACGGCTTAAGTTCCTCTTGTTCTTGAGAATCTATTTCCAAATTTCCACCCTTTAACCATTTCTTGTATGACTCCTCTTCCTGAATAGATGAAACAATGACATCATTACAATGTACAATATTGAAAAATAAATTGTTTTAATAAATAATAATATTAAATAATGATAAAAACACAATTAAATTAAAGGTACCTTCTGCTTGTCATCTTCTGTTTTTTGCTTTACTTTCAGGAATCCAGTATCCTCGTCTGTATCAGACTCTTCTTTGAGAACATGCTTGAAACCATCTTTCATTTCTTGTTGTTCTTCTATGTAAGTGTGTATTTTAATTTTAGCATTTTGCTTATTATCTTCATCTTCGCTGCTACTAAACTGTCCGTTTCCTTCCATTACAATTTTACGTTCATAGTCACGTAAAAACACAGCCTTTTCTTTCTTTAATTTGTCTTTCCTCTTATTCTCCGATTCATATTCTGCAGTTCCAGATATGTCGATATTGTTAAAAAACTTAACACCTTCATCATATATACATGGATTCTTTTTCTTCAAGCATGCTAAGGTTTTATAAAATTCCCTATCAAATTGTGGATCCTCAATCTATAAAGAAGATTAGTTAAAATTAGAAAGTAATTAAACATTGTTATATTTAAACATTTTTTTTTCTAAATTGACAAAATAAAAGTACAAGATGCTTTACTTCAAAACATATTATATAAATCATTTCAAAGATCATACATTCTCATCATCTTCATCATCAGATGAGCCGCTGTCATCCGTAATAACCTCTTCATATTTTGTCTTTACTGTAAAGTGTAAAATTTGAAAATTATTATTTATTAAGAAATCATTTAACTTTAAATTATTTTAAATTCATAAGTTTTATTTCTCTCAAATTATCTCTCATTATCTCAAATTCATATATAAATATTATTGGCTAAGGATAATTTATAACAAAAAGATTCTTCCTTCTATTGAAGAGAATAGGTTATATATTTGCGGTATTATATATTGCTTACATTTATTTAGTTCTTCCTTTTGACGCCAATTATCGTAATTCTTAGCGTAATCCGTGTTTATCTTGATTTCTCCGTCGGAATCTGAATTATCACCATTGAATAACGTTGACATGTTAGTAGAATGTAACGGCAGAGCCTTAAAATCACAAAATAATTAAAAGTACAACTACACGTGTCCAGACTACATTACACACTACTATTATAATCTAACCTAACTTTGATATATCGTAGTATAAAGTGTATTCCACACATCGTTTCTTCAGCGCTTAGTGAGCTTTTACATATCTGTGAAGCTACATTCGGAAACACCACGTTGAGGGTGCGATCCACTAGGCGCTGCAAATGCATTGAGGTGTTCAACGAAAAGCCATGATTGGTCTACGGTGCTTCAAAGCATCTGCACCGTCTAATAAATCGCATCCCGAAGGTAGAGTAACATTTAATTCATTAAAGATAATAAAGAAATTTTAGTTCTCTTTGTTCTGATTAGTTAATTAAATGCCATTCTTCCCTCAATGTGTAGTTTCCGAACACAACCTGATTGGGATATATATTTAGATCTAAAAGAATTGGTCAATCGAATGCAGAAGCTCATTGAGTGCTCGGGGAGTGGTGTATTTCCTGAATGCGCCAAATAATTACTGAAAAAGAAATTGTACGATAATGTATAGGTACGCAAACTAAAGGAGAAAGTCTATGCTTTTGGACAAAATATGTAAATATTCAAAATATTTTATAAATTTATTTATATTGCGAGTAAATTTTTTATAATATATCTCCTAACCTTTCTACATAGTTTGAGTATACTCTTAAAATATCAATTATTTGTGAATTATTCAATAATTTACATGTTATTTGATATAATACATTCTTCTGATTGGTATAAGATAATGTTAGATATATTAGATATATGTTATAGCGTTTTTCTAATAAAATTTACTAAATAACATTCTAGGAGAATTTACAAATAATGTTTTAAGATTATTAGAAGTACTTATACAAGTAGTCATATATATATATA